CTTTAGCATTTCACAGGTTTGGATAACAAAGTGAATGTATTTAGTTATTTCTGTTTTAGAGGCCTCCTAGTGAATCGCACATTTTACAAAAGACTACCTTACCTATATACCTTTCCATTCAGTGCAATTCCATACATACAAATCAGAAAAAAGTAATGTTTCTCATAGTCTCTGTTCTCTTCTCTGTCTGCATTTTACTAATATGTTGACTAGCAGTTTGAAATTATTGGTATTTATAAAATAAAATAGAAATACTAACTACCCCTAAGCAGCGAATAATCATGTGGCAAGTGGGCAGGATGGGTGTCCAGGACAACTCTGCTCTTTCCGTGATTCTGCTACTGCATAACACGTCTTTGTGCAAATCACCTAGGCTCTATTTTTAAAATAGAGACAATGCTAAGACAGACGCATACTGCGAAACTAGTGTTTACATGACACTGGTGGACTTTCACTAATAAAAACATTACACTAGACTGCAGTAATTCTTTCTCAAGGTCTCATCTATACAGAAACACTCTGACAAAGGAATCTGAATGGATGAAATTTCATAAAACCTGGGGACACTTATTCACAGTGAAGGGCTTTGTATCATTTTATCTAAATGACAAGTAAAATACATCTGTGTTCATTCTGAATGTCCATACAGGGGTTGCATGAAGTTTAAATAATCCATTCCAAATATGAATTGAGATTCATTTTCCTGCAGAAAAATACAGAACTTTCTGTGGGCCACAGATAATTCTTAATAGCACATCCCATTACACTGGCAGCCAAATTCAAATTCTGATTCTCCATCCTATTTGCTCAGGAGACAGAACATACTAGAAGAATTTCAGAGCTAAGGCTCCTGACTTTGTAGGGATTATTACAGCTTTGTTGCATCACTCTCTGAATAAACTGAGCAGGAAGCAAAGTTCTGAAAGAGTATCTGGTCAGTAAAGTCATTTGAAATGGATGTAGCTATATAATTGTCTACCTAGAAAACTGATTTCCTAATAGATCAATATGTTCTATGTGAAAATCAGAAGAAGGGAATGGCAACTTTTTAACACTGGCATTTTCCCTACTTGATGGATGCCAGGTTAACCACAGGTTCTTCTTGCAGGTTCTCAACAAAAGAATAAGATGCAACAGTTGTAAGTTGCAGGAAGGGGAATTCTGCCTAGATGTAAGGTCAAAAAAAAAAAAAAAAAGGAGAAAGTGGCTAAGTACAGCCCAGAAAGGTTGTGAAACATCTGTCTGGGTGATATATAGGACTCCGCTGAATCTAACTTTGAAGTTAGCTTTGCCTTGAGCAAGTGGCTGGCCAAGATGACCTCCAAAGGTCCTTTCCAGCCTAAACCCTTTCTATGCTTGTCAGCTCAGAAAAAACTTAATAGGGAACTGGGGAAGCTACATGAAAGATTAAACATATCTACTTCAAAAAAAGTTTCTTTCAGATCAAATCTCTTGTATACAAATCCTTTTTTATCTGCACTTGTCTTCCAGGGAAATTCATCAGTCCTTAACTGTGCTGGAAACTTAATGCTCTGTATTTTCCAGAAGACACTGGGAGCCTTGTGAATACAGTGACACCTATTCCATAGCAAGTAATGGCACCCAGGCAGAATCGGATGGCAATAATGCACTAACTTGATCTTCATCTGAACTGCCCAGAAATTTCTATGTCACTAAATGTCTAAATGAAGACTAGGCTTTAATATGGCTCACTATAAAATAACATCTATTGAATTCTAGAGTTGTTAAACATAAGCTAAAGGTTTGGAAAAGTGTTGACTCCTTCACTAAGTGCGGCTTTATGTAACTAGTTGTCTCAAAGGAGCTATAGTCCGCATCCCACTGCTGGTAGCAGTACTGATGTTTTAAGAATTTGCTGACAACTAAAAGGCACTAGAAATTATTTTTTTAAGCATGTTTCTAGTATATTAGTCAGAAATACCAGTGTTCCATTTTGTCAGTTTTCTGTCATAGCGTTTGTGGTATGACAATGTGAAATATTGGTAGTGTCAGTACACATACGATACGTAGCAATACTTGTCCTTTTTTGTTGCAGTTCAGTGATGCAGTCTGGGATAAGAACTACCAGTCCAAAACTTTATTTAAATAGGAGACCAGTGACACTACCACACGGGTAGGAGAGAAAAGAAGGCATTTACTCCTTTTATTAAGATGGGGAATGACAAAAAAGGTCCATCCACTTTTTGATAAAGATTTATGTAACCTTGAGTACCCCTAGCATCCTAACTTGCCCTGCTTGCTAGCATTACCTTATTGTAAATAAGTATCGGAATGACTGAGAAGGCTGGCTTAGTTTTCCATTGTCTACTCAGTCATGCAAACTGAGAATTAAAATAAAGGCTCTTGTCTTGTAGAGGGATATCCCATTTTATCTGAACACAAAATTTGAGTGGTACTAGATCAAACATTCCATTTATGACCACATCTGCTATTCTTAGAAGTCCTGTACATTAAAAGGAGGCAAATTTCTATGATCACCTACATCCAATTAAATCTAGTGAAAATAACATCGTAACCACGTATCCTTTTTCCCTCTCAGGACTTTGGGCAACAGCCAGCTGCTGAAGAAACCTCAACTGTATGGATTTAATTGTACATTAACTCCAGGTAAAATAACCACTGTTGCAAGCCAATGCATACCTCAAAGCAGCCCCAGTACCAAATTACAAGTCTGTGCACTGCTAGTGTATGGTAACTGTAACAGATTCATTCATCTGCTTGCAATTCATATTTTAGATAATTCAAATGGAATGTTAAGAATGAGTAATAGAATTAAGGTTACCTAACTCTTCTAAAGCAGACTTTATTAATGTCAGATGATACCACCACTCCGGTCCACCAAAACATGATAATGAACATCAGAAAAAAAGTAAACGTGGGAAGAATGTTTGGGGTGGTAAGATTCTAAGGTGGAGCTAAAAGATTTATAAGAATATCCATTTTCACAGGTTTGGGGTTTTTTTTAACATTACAGGACAAACCCATATTTGTGGAGTGAGGGATAGGTATTTCACTTCCAAGGAAACGCTTGCATTTCAGTTTCTCATTATGAGTTCACATTAAAGGCACATGCACACATTCAGGAATATTGATATCCATTGCAATATTAGTAAATTCGCTGTTTTCACAGTTCCTCCTGATCTATTAGAGTGTAAAGACAGTTCTGTGAAAGATGAAGTCTTAGAAGTCACCAAGCAACATAAAGATAATGCTGCAAAGACCCTGAAGAAATTCAACAGTGAGGGTAACTACACAAAATACTTCAATGTGGACAAAGTTGAAAAGATTTTAAAGATGGTAAGTGGCATTTGTCCTACAATTACTTATAAATGACAAAATTTTCTGAGCAGCTCCAAAACCATGGGACCAGAACTCAAACCCTTCTAGGATCAGAACTATTGCTTGTCACCTTGCAGCATAAATTATCTGCTTAAAATTGAAGGTCCTACTTCTGCAAAGACTTGTTATCAACTTTAATATAGGCACATGAAAGCAAAAGGATTTCTCATCTGCTAAAAACTACAGCATCCAAAATGTCAGAGCCTTCTTTGTGTGCGTATTTTTATTTGAAATGTCTATTTACCTATCATATCATAACATACAAGAGTTTATTTACTACTGACCAGAGTTCTTCAAAATGTGCAGTCATGTGCATTATCACAGTCATACATTCTGTCAACTGAGGTCAGATAATTTTTTACTCTTAGAATATTTAGCACATGGATACAAACCCAAGTGGAACACACTCAGCATCATTTTGAATTTCTGCTGCAGAGCCAAGCAGCACTCTGAGAGCTTTTTTCCTTACTGAATACACGTATATGTGTGAACATTTGAACAGCACAGGTAATGAAAGCATGAGGTAGACAGGATTATGACAACAATATGGAGTATGGTTGTTTTTAAAATTACAGGATTTTTAATACACCTAGTTACCACTTCTTGTTTGACCTCTTGGTTTCAGAATGCCTCCATGAAGGTCACATTTTAGGATTCTCTATAAAAGAGATCAACTGTTCCAAATCCACACAACAAGCAGATCAGGAATTGGAATGTGATTTTCTGGATGACTGACACGCTGTAAGTAAAGCCTTAGAATGAGAACTGGTACAACGGGTGGCATCATGAAGATCTTCCCACAATATTTCCAAGTGTTTCTTGTAAGCATGCACCCAAACTCAAAATTGTTTGAAATTGTGAAAGTCACAGCAAACAGGATGCTAAGGGCAGTAATTTAAAAAGATTATAACAAATTACTTTTCAAAAAATAAATATGGAAGAAAGCTCCACCTTGACCTTTGACTGAAACAGCATAGCTATACACTGTCTGGTTTTGAGGACTTTGAGCAAAATTTCAGAATAGCGCAATCTGAACAGATGTTTGACAAGCAAAGACAGGAAAAAAAAGGAATAAAAATCAGTCACCCACAGGGTACTCATTTTAGAGACATCAGTAGCTGACCAATTTCTTACAGACATCAGAAGAGAAGATAGAGAGTAGTAGCCCTCTAGATGCACATGGTGAAGCAGTCTTCACAGTCAAGAGCAATCAAAAATGGCATATATCTTAATCATTATTAATCACTGGCAAGTATCACTGGTCAGAAAGCTCAGGATCTAGCTAAATTGTGTAAACATACATAGGTATCGAAGGAACTAGCCTAACTTTTAAAATGTTGAACTTTCAGTAGCTTCTATTAACTCCATCACAAGAACCCAGGTGTGCATCTTTTGGGTTTTTTTTCCTTCTTTTCTTTTGCTTAGCATGTGGGATTCTGCAAGGCAAGAATCATCAGTGATCCAGATGAAGCTGATGCAACAGATACAAACTGTGAAATATACCATCCCTGGGGATGTACACACTTATTGAAATGTCTCTGGCTATATCCTCATGCAGGCTACAGAACCTCACTTAGTCCAGACTGACAGATGATTGCAACATTTGTCCCTTATTATTGCCTGAGTGTGATGCAGCATGTCAGGATGGACTGGCTTTTGACTGCTAAGTCAATCAGAGGATGAATTAGAATTGAGCTGTCCCTACTATTCCCTCCAAGGGTGTTTTCTCTCAGTCCAATCATACTGGGCGAGTAGAGATTGGCAAACAAGTCCAAAGGAATTTTAGAAAGCAAGAGGAAGGGAGATGATCTTTATCATATTTGGTATTCCAGTTTATATTACAACTGCTACTCCAGTGCGGATTTTATTTTGTTTTGAACCATCATAAATTTTGCTCAGTTGCTTACAGCATTTCATTTTGTTACGATTTCCAGATGATTTTCAGTAATTTGGCATTTTATCATCTACTCCTTCTCTTCTATCTTGAAAAAAAACCACAGGGTTTTTTTTTCCTTGCAGATCACAAGAACCAAGAGGAACCACAACATCCCCCTTCTGCTTCTCCTCCCCATGACACACCACATCATCCTCCTCTTTCCCAAGAGGAATTACATCATCTCCCTTCTCCTACTCCCCATGATGAACCAGATTATCCTCCTCTTGGTCCCCATCATGGACCACACTCTCCTCCCCCTCCTCGTGGACCACATCACCCCTATCCTCCTCCCCATCGTAGACCACACTATCCTCTTCCTCCTGCCCCTCCTCATGGACCACATCATGGACCATCATCCTCCTGTCCATTGTAGACCACATCACCCTCCTCCTCCAGGACACCCTCGTTGTCTCTGTCATCACTATTACAGACATCACTGCAACAAGACAAGCATATTGGAAAAGTACTCTCCATTCCAAATAACAGGAGCTGTCTATCTCATTCCAGTTCTAAATCAGCAGGATTCTCTCACACATCCCACTGCAAACTTTACTGAGCTACTCCAAAGCATTCCTCACTCCTCCAGCACTGGTGGAGGTATTCCCTTCATTGGCTCAAGTCTAAAGGAGATACCAGAAGTTCCAGGTTTTCCAGATCACAAATCAAAGTCATGCCCAGGAAACCCCAAACTTGTTCCTCCAACTATTCTGCCTTTATTTCCACATAGCTCCATGGCAGAAAATTCTCCTACATGACCTCAGAGAAAGGTGTTCCTGGCTTGAGAGTTGCAGGGCCAATGACAGTTGTACAATGGATGAAAATAGCACATGGAGAAGGGGAAAAACATACAATTTCTAGGGAGGAGAAGCCCTGAAAATAATGATTAAGACAAGTACTCCAACCTGCCTCTTGATTCCAGCTATCTCAGACTCCATTGTAACTGAAAGGCTCAAAATTCTAAGTCCCTCAGATAATGTGAAGGGTACAAATCTCCCCAGCAAACAATGCTCCTTTAGTTCTAACAAAAAGGAAAATTCCCTAATAGTGAAAACTACCATGTAAAATCTTTCATTTTCTCATTATTCATGATTTTAATATTCTTCTCTGAGGAAATCTGACCACCTTCCATAAAAAAATTATCCATGGCACTACATTCACACTTTATAAAGATTCAAAGAAAATAAAAATATTTAAGCTTTTTTTTTCTTGACACAGTTGCCGAAGTTTTGTCTTTTTTTTTGTTACTACAGATGTTTAGCTTCACAGTAAAAATTCGTGAGGCATAGGCTAGCATAAATTGACTAACAGTGGTTGGGTTACCACCGCTATCTAGTAAGGGTCTGAGAATAGTTAATGACTTACAGTGTAGCACCGCAGGGTGGCCTGCACAGGTACTTCCATTCCTGCAGTTGTTGGTGGAGATATACCAGAAATACTGCGCTCAAGGACAGCCCTTTTCAGATAGTTCATAATTGCTCTCAGGGGAGGAGAAAAGCAGATGCGTGTAATAACTCTTTCATGTAAATGTTTTCTTTATCACTGAACCTTCCTCACTGGAAATGGAGTTGGGAGGAACAAGAAGAAAGAATACTGGTGTCTCTTTATGCTCTAGCCCCTGTCAAGGTAAAGTCAATTCAGACAGTCCTAGGACCCTAATGGGTTAGTTCAGAACAATTACCTCATAAGCAAGAACAGGGATTAATCTCAAAAAATTAGTAGTTTGTTTCTCAAAGTAGCTTTTTAATTGCACAAATACAGTGTGAGGGCTACATTGAAGAAAAAGAAACGAAATGGGGACAGCATTTTGTGTAACTGAGTGACAGTTTTCTAATTTTTAAAAGTGCATTATCATGTATGAACAACCTTATTTCTAGCATAGCTTATCCACAAAGTCTCTGAAGGGCATTTTCTTTAACCAAAACTTGTAGCAAGACACAACTGGAATACTGGAGCTGAGGCAATCCCAAGGTGTTCACAGATTCAAAGCAAAGCTGTTTGGTGCTCAACACTAGAGATGAGCACCAGACGTTCCCAGCTGGCTCTAATTCTGTCTATGCCAGCCACAGGCAACATCACGTAATCCCTTGTTCTTGAGTGTCACTTTCCCCATCTGTAATGATACAAAACATTATGACGACTGACTAATCCATGGTCCAAAAGCAGTCTCTCCACATATTGGAAAACATGGACACTTCCAATAGTAGCATGAAGGACAAGGTTTATCGAGTGTTACTGAAGAGTTACGTGACATTCAATGATATGCATCTGACAAAAGACTTTTTTCAAATGTTCTGACTACTCAGAACTATCGCAGTCTGAACACTAAACAGATCTATAAAATTTACAGGGTTGCTGTCCAGAACCAGAACTTCATTGCTACTGTGACCTTCTTGGGTGTTTTATTTAAGCCTTCTAAAATTCATTGTCAGTAGCAGTTTAGATGTTAAGAAAAGTAGCCAGAAAGCTATAAACATTCTGCTTTCTCTTTTGTTCAGCGGCCATCCTGCTTAGTCTAAACCTGTCCTCAGCTGCAGCCATTTAGCCTGTTATTTTGATGGCAGGTGGATAACCTTAGTGTCATCCTTGTGACCACACAAAGTTTATTTAGATAAACTCAGAAGCTTGTTTGCAGTATAAACAGGGTATGATGAGAACCAACCAACCCTAGCAGCCTATTCATTCTGTTTACTTAGCTATTGCTCCTCAAAAACAGAAGAGATGACTAAAACCCTGTCAAGCATTCTTTTTCCATTTGGTTTTTAAAGAGCCTTCTAATTCAGGGGCCTTTTTTGTCCAATTATGAAACTTTTGATTGTACTAGCACTCTGCTGTAGTTTTTTCTCTAGTACAGCCACCCCTCTTCCCTTTGAGTTTTTGGACTGTGATGACCCTGATGTCTTTAAAGCTGTCGACACAGCACTGAAGAAATACAATGGAGACAGAGCAACTGGTAATCAATTTGCTCTATACATGGTGATGGAAGCCAAGAGAACTGTAAGTAGACTTTGCAAATAAAAAAATAATGTTGGAATTGTTTATGCAGGTAGTTTTAATAACTCCATCAATAAGTAGTCCAAATATTTTTAAAATGATGTCCCAACCTGATACAACCTGGGAAAGAACAGGGCTGCCTGACACTATTTTCAATGAAAAGCAAAATCTGAATCAGATTATCTCTATCTTGCTCATAAGAGAGCAAGCGTGACAGCAAAGTGTCTTCTAAAAATGTTTTAAAAAATCAAAGAAATTATTTGCACAGTAAGATACTTGTTACCATGACAAGCAGGGATGTATAATGTGTTCTTATCAATGGAACTATGTGTGCTGATGAATTGCTTATTAATGCAAGGACTAAAGAATAGAAAATTTCTATCACTAATACAATTTGTCTTACTAGTCCACTCTGATTTCCCCTTTCTCTGTTGGGAATTCTATCCCTTTCCATCATCAGTAAGGTTTTCAGATCAATGGCAAAACCACACTTACTAAAAACCTGAATATTATCTTGACTTGGGAAGAGCTGGTATCGCACATAAGAAAGAATGACCTGATAAAATTTGGCAATACTTTGAATAAATTGTTTGTGCGTATTATTTGCACTAGTCCTGAGTCATGGATCTATCTAAAAGTACTAGGTGGTATTTTAGTCAAATAGGGTAACAGCAAAAATTACGGAGGAAAAAAAGAATGAAACGTGATCCTTTGCCTGGAGTCCGTCTGTATAGCCTTAATCTAACAAAAGAGTATTTACCTCTGAGAGGCATACAAAGATATTACCATAATAATGACAAGCATTACTTTACTTGAAAACAGCATTAGCATTTTTTTCTACTGGATTGGATTTTCAGATGTAAAAGACAAAACAGTGTCAGAGAGAATATTTTACACTCCAAAATCACAAGACACTTTTACCCAGATAGAAATAGACCTCAGAAAGGGGACATGGATTGCTAAATGCCTTAAACTGCCCACATCTCCTGGCATCTACTCTCTGCTTTTCCTGTTTTCAAACTGGGGAGACTTTAGCAGGTAGTGACAAAGACTAAAATCTGGCAAATTCTTTATACAATTTATATTAAACAGATGAATATTCCCACTGTCTTCACTGAATTACACACAGCCTTAACAATAGCCAAATGCAAACATCTTTATATCAGAGCTGTAATACCATTTTCCTTTTGCTGATGTTCCCAAAGGACAGATATTAGTTTCAGTATTTTATCTTAAACAATGTTCTATTTTTAAGAACTCTTATTTGTTGCAATTAATATTCATCTTTCCTTCTCTAGATAGCCATCTTCCCTTCTCTTAAAAGATCTGAGGTGGAAATTGATTATTACTTTGAATCATTGATTTGACTATGATGTTAAGTAAAAAACAGAGGAAAGGAATCTGCAATAAAGATTTTCTCATATTCAATATTCTTTTTTCTAAAAAAAGTATAGATTTTACTCATCCCTAGTCTCACAATGTTGAATGCATTAATTAAATAGCTGGTTATTACATATTCATGTACATTTATTATTGATAAGGTAATAAAACATAAAAGCTGACTAGTGAAAGACTGAACCTGCCCCAGTTAAAGGCATAGCTGTTCATAATAATAATGAAATAAACCAACAACAAATAACATACAGAAACAATGTCTTTTCTCATGTATTTAATTTATTCACTAGGCTGATTTATTGCAGATTTAGAACACTGTAACAGAGAACAGAATTTGGCTCTTTAAGTCCAAATCCCAGATAGTATAATCTGATGCAGCTCCATAAATGTCAATTTATACCTGCTGAGGATTAAGTCCATTATATTTTTAGAGACCCTTTCATCCACTTTTACAACCTGCAACCATTATATCAGGTACCTCTACCCCTCTTTGTAGTGTAGCAATACATAACAGGAATTGCGAGAACAAAGAATATAATTCTGTGTCTATACCAGTGTAAATCCAGTATATTCCACCCACATCAGCTCAGCTTCACTTTCTGGGTACCCCCAAGGCAAGAACTATCATTTGAGGATAACCAGCATTAAAGTACAGCAACTGCCTGTGTTTATATGTGAAATGGCACATTAGCAGAGCATTTTTAGTGGCTGTAAAAGATTAGTAACTTCTGGCTTTGTATCTCCTCTAATAGATGAACCACAAACCTTGCAGTGTGTCAGTGTTACCTGTAGGCACAGGTTCACTACTCTGCTTATGGCAAGGAAAAAATGTCCACTACTGATTTACCAACATCAGAAATCATTCTGCTGGCCAGGCCAAACTTTGCTTAATACTTTGTATTTCATTGTATGGGATTCCTGAGGCTACCGTCACAAGCAGCTCAGCCTTTAATGCCTGCAGGAAAACTGCAGGCACTGCCAAAGGCTGTCTCCAGAGCATATGCCCTCCTCGCCCCTTTCCCCCTAGTAGGCAGGGCAGCTAAAGTACCCTGTTACCAAGGAGTAGAGGCAGTTTGGGCACTGCCAGCCTGCCTGAGGGTTGCTGGCTGCTGTTCTGGGCTGCCTGTAGAGTTGTACAGAAGGAAAGTAGACAGATCTGGGAGGAGGCCAAGAGTGAGAGTGAGGGAGTCAGACAGGAGCACAGTCCAAGCTGGTAATTTTGCTAACTATCCAAGCAGCAACCCAAATTTGCTTATTTGGAGTATATTTGAATATGATTATAAAACCTAACAACTTCTTTCTGGTTTTAAACCCCTTGGCACTACAAGTTAAAATGAAGGTAGTTGAGCATACCGTATCTATCATATCA